GTCGTTATTGTTGTTGTTGTATTTAATGTTGGTAAAAGATATAATTGAAATTGATCATAAACTGTTTTAAGATCTTCTAATGTATATTGATATAAAACAACAACATTTTCTAATTGTTTATCATATTGTAACGCACAATCCAAACAACGTACAACATGTTTACGATCAATTTCAGTTATAAATAAAATATTAAATACTTCACAATCACATGTGATACAATAATGTGCTGGTTCATGTAATGTACGTAATTGTTTACGTACATCAACACCTCGACCAAATTGTTGTTCTAAATAAGATAATGTTAATTGAATATATTTTAATGATTGATGTAAAATAAATTTTATTAATTCAAATAAATGACGATCATTTATACGAATATTTCGTGCAATATTCCATGTTAAATGTACCATAGGTACAATTGATTTACATGAACATAAACGATTCCATTCATAACGTTCAATAGCAGTATAATATTGATTATAAACTAATGGACCAACATTCCAAGAAATATTATTACACCATCCAATAGATTGTAACCAATAAACACAACTAGATTTTAAAAAAAAACATATCATTATTTATTTAAATGATAAAATGATTATTATTTATTTAATTGTTCTAATAAGTTAACTTACTATTCTAAGAAAAGATGATTTATTAAATGAGTTAAGAAACAAAAAAACTATTCTGTTCTGTTAAAAATTACAATAGCTGTTATTAACTAAGAAAAATATATTAAAGAGAATAAGGTTTGACCATAAAGGACGTTCAAATATAATCACTGCTTTGTCTTCTTTATTTGTTTAGAAATCTTATTTTGTTTGATATCAAATGATTCATATACATGATGCATCACAATAGATTTTTATTTAGAGGAGTGTTCGAAGAGAAACATCACTATCTTCGCTCATCCTATCTATGTTTTTAGTGAAAGTGCTATGAAATCGATGTTTTTTTTCTATTCGAGAGTAATCATCTTATGATCTTCATTCGATTGTAGAGATAGTAAAGATCCCAGATATTAGACTATCAAAATCTTCGATTCCAAATTAATAACACTATCAATGGAAAACTTTCTATTTTTGACAATTTTGGATAACACACTGGATCACATAACTTGTCCTTCTGAACATCCTATCTAAAAATCACTTCTACTTCAGAATTTTTCTGAATACAGCGCTTAAAAATCTTCGTAGACATCCAAGAATATTTGATTCTCTCTCTTCTTATTTTTTTAAGATGCCTTTTAAGAATAACTCCATTCTCACAAAAGATTATTATTGATATATATTAATAGACAAAAAAAATACTTTTATATAAATTCAAAAAAAAAAAGGAAAATAAGTTCCTAAGTCAACTTTAATCAAATAAATTTACCTATAGACTGAATGTTAAAAATTTGTATCATAATGTATGGTCATCATATAACATAACAAATAGATTTGTTCGGATAAAAGAAAAATAATCTTTCAATTCTATTAGCATTTATTCTTAACTTATCTGTACTAATCTATTCATATACCTAATATTATTTTTCATAATATTTATCTTACCCAGTATTAACAAAAACAAGATCTCCAGGTTTTTGTATAAAACGATATACAGGTACTTGTGCATCATATAAATCATCTAATATAGGCCACCATGATCCAGTTAAAAAATCAACACCATTCTTTTCACATAATGTATATATAATACCCCAATACTCATTAGAAACAGCAAACCATTCACAATCTCCAGGACCAATATTAACATTGATCGCACAAAAATTATTATTTTCTTGATGACCCGGTGTTCTTGATCCGGGTACTTTCATATATAACTGTACACTATTCATTCCATGAATTGTATAACCAACATGAGATAAAATATTTCCAGCTGATACAACTCGCATAAATAATGGAAGTTTGGTTAATTCAGATAATTGAGCTGCCCATTTTCGTTCATCAGATAAATCAACATTTGTTCCAGATTTGATTGTACGAATTGATGATATAGAAGAATTATTAGCTATTAATGAAAAGAAAAAAAAAGACATTTAGAGTCAAACGGGTTTTCAATTAAGAAAATAATTATTACTTGATGGTTTATTGGAAACTTTTTTTGAAGTTCCATTCGTCATAATCATATTTGAGTTTGTTGTTAATCCACTATTTGTATTTATTGATGAAATATTGGTTTCATTTAATTCATCTTTAACCATATCATGATATGAATAAGCTTGATATTGTGCATATTTCGATATAGTTGTATATGAACGAGTTGATTGATATTTCCAAATATTTTTTAATGGTGTTGTCATTGATGTAAAATCAAAATTTTCATCAATTGCTTGTTGTCGTTGTGCACGTACTTCAATTTGATGATCAGGTTGACTTTCGACAAGTGTTTTTGTTGAAAATAAACCTAAATCAAGTTTAAGTACATTAGCTAAACCACGTACAATACATATGGGTTGTGATAAACAATATTGTTGTAATTGTGTTGATGTTGCTTCACGACGTGTTTCTAAAATAACACTTGGTGTAGTAGGATTAAGATCAAATGCTGGAGTTTTTGGTGCTTGAGGTAGTTTTGGTATATGACCATCAGGTAAATATGAAACAGGTAATGGTGGTAAAGGTGATGTTGAATGTTTTAGTATTTTTTGTAAATCATTTGAACTTGTATTACTTGTAAATGATAATGTTGGTTCGATTTTAATACGTTTTGGTCGTATAGATTGATCATTTGTTAGTAAACGTTTATCAATACGTAATACATCAATAGAAGGTTTTATATTTGCTAAATAAACACATAGATATAATTATAAAGTTTTTTTTTATTAATTAAGATTTACAAGTGAGAATAGATGGTTGTGACGAGGGTGGAGGAGGAACAAGAGTAGCTTCAGATGATGTTGGATATTGTTGATTTGATAAGTTTGCTGTGGAAGAACTTGGAAGAGAAGTAGTTGTTGATGATGATGTAGCTATTTGTTGTTGTTTTGCTGTCAATTCAACTGGAATTGGTAATGTAAAAGCTTCTTCAACTTTAGGTAATGGACCACGTGGTCTATAAAATAAAAGAAAGATAAAAAAATATAACATTTTTTCTATTTTTAAATACGTACTGTTTTCCAATAGCACCTTCAGGTATTTGAGCAAGACAGGATTGTAATTGATTAATACGATTTATTAATTCTGGATTCCACGATTCTAAAAACAATATAACATTACTATGAAAACATTTATGAGCTTGTTTTCATTACCATCTTTATCTAAAATTGCTTTTTTATAACAAAAAAGTGCATCTTGTGCTTGTCCACTAGTTTCATATAATATTCCTAAATCCATCCAAGCAGTTGCATGTTTATTATCAATTTGTATAGCACACACAAATGCTTGTAATGCATCCATTGTTTGATTTTGATGTTGATAAAGAACACTGTAACAGAAAAAAGAAATATAGAAAAATTCTTTTCTTTTTTGGTTTATTTCAATTTATTCTTTACCCAATTGAACACCAAATATCAGCATTTTGATCTAATTTATCTACACAATTTCTATAGGTATAAAAAGCTTCTGTATGTTTTCTTAATGCTGCATAACATCGTCCTAAATAATAATAAGTTATGCCACATGTTGGATCACATTTACATGCTTGTTCTAATGTTGTTATAGCTTTTTTTATTTGATTTTCTCTTTCAACATTTAAATTTTCTGTATTAAAATTATTCGATATTGGACCATAGAAATAAAGCCAACCAAGTTGTCGTAAAATTTTTCCTTCTAATTTAGCTGGAACAATATCTTGTGGTTGTAATAATTTTTCATAAAGATTTTCTGCTTCAGATAAATGTCCTTGTTGTTCATAAACAAAACCAATTAAATAAGATAATTCAGAACGTGTTAATGAACATGTACTTGTTGAATCATTTAATGCACGTTGAAAATATTTTAAACTTGATGAATAATCACTTAATTGTTTATAAATTAAACCAAGACGAAGATGAACATCACTACGACGTATAAATTGACTATCAAGATAGAGTACTTGTTGATAAGCACGTATTGCACTAAGAAGAAAAAAATAAAGATTATTCCAATTCATATATTATAAAGTTAGAAAAGAAATAATATTTACTGATTATCAACACCGTAATGATGATAAACAATACCAAGACCGAATAAAAATTCTGAATTCTAAAACAAGAAAAATTTACTAAAATAAAAACATACAAGTAGATTATAACTTACATGATTAAGTTTTGTTTCTAATGCATATGCCGCTTGATACGCAGATAGAGCTAGAATAGATAAAAACCAATTGAAAATATACAATCAAAATTTTACGATCTGCTCTATATATGTAGTAGTTAAAACTTATCGACTTCCTACTAACAGTCACTTAGAATATACGCAAATTCTTTCTTTTTCAGTTGTTTGTATCGTATACTCTGTATAGATCTTCTTGAAGAGTGATATATTGTACACGATAGATTTTTGAGTTACATACTTCTCGTCAAAGAAAAACCCATAAATAATTGACTTTTTTTAAAAATAGTATTATCATAAGGGAAACTATTCTTAATTATGTCAAGAGTGAGGAAGTCATCAGGGATCACTAATTTCTAGCACATTTCCGGTTAGAAAAAGCTCACCATGATAGTATTTGGAAAAAAACATTGCATACTGATTTTAACACGTATGAAATTAAATAGAATTACCTTTAGCAAAATCTTCTAATAATAAGTGCCAATGACCAATGTGAATATAGTATTGAGCTATTTGTAACGAATCTTTTTCATTGCGTATTTTCTCTTCATAAAATTGAATAGCCTTAAAATAATAACAAAATAGAATCTTAATAATAATAAAAATATTTAACTACCATAAGTAAAAATTGACGTCGTTGTGCTTCTTCTGGTTTGTCCAAATGGATGAGTCCATATAAAAGACTATAAAAATCATTGAAAATATAATAAACTCTTGAGTTTTATTAAATATTAAACTATCAAACACGCACATATATTCAGTAAACATAATCAATGATGTTGTTCTATCTTAAAACTACTCTTTTATTTATATAACATGACACTCTGAAGAAGATGAAAGATTTTCTTCTTCTTTTTTTTATCTATTCTTCAAGAAGATTTGTCATTTGATTATATGATTGTTCGTTCTTACACTCAATTCATCATTACTCTTTTCCATTTACAGTTTCTTTTTCTTTAACATAGATAGCAATAAGTTCCGTTCATTATTTCTTCTTTTTATCCAACGATCTCCTCCTTCGTCGTCATTCTTTCTATAGATTCTTGTCGACATTATTGTGCCAGTCAGATAGCAGTTTATTTTATATAACATGTATATGTGTGCGGAACAAGAAGGAGAAAAAGACGAAGAAAAAAGGGGAAAAAACGAGACTTTTGATTTCACTACTATACTGACTACTGCATTTATGTCGCACGTCTCGCGTATGAATCTTACACATATACATAGAGTGTGTCAAACAAACGGCGCCGATACATAAGAGCAATACTATTACTAACAGCGAACACGAGCAAGAACAGAAGAAAGAAAAACGAAGAGTATAAATGTAGCTATCGCTCACTCATCACTATCGACAATCGCATATATATATACTCGATATACATACATATCACACATGGTGTACTAATTTACAACGTTAATATTGAATCGTTTATACTCCTATTGATTTTTTTTGCTTACAAAACTTAGTTTTTCAATGAAAATCAAATTTTAATATCAAATTGGTAAGTAATATACTCATATCAGTTACAATAAAATTCTAGAAAACTTAAACTGATTGTATGTTAATCAGATAAGGAAATATTCATCGATTAGATAAGGATAGTAAAGAGATGATAATATAGACGTTTATCATCTCCAAAATTGTATTATTAAACTTTAAGAAAATCATGAGTTCTATGACAAATTAGAAAAATATATAATACGAATACTATTCTGATAACATAATATAAGTAGATATGATATCATCCGTAATTTTTATTATTTAATTAATTCATCGAGAAATTGAATATGTTATACTATTCTAAAACATTATCTACATTTAAAATCTCTTCATATTTATATTTCTCTTTTGATAAATTTAAATAAAGAAATTAGATTATGTTACTAGTATCAAAATATCTATAGTGCCTACTATTCTTAGATAATATGATAAACCTGTATATAATTCATCAAGATGTTGATGATAGAAATAACGACATGAAGCTTACTAAATAAAAATAATCATAAATGAACGATATATTGAATTAATTAATCTAATACTGTTAATGAGAAGAACTCAAACAACAACTATTCATTATATCAACTACTAGGGTTTTCATTTCTATAGAAATATATGTATGGTTTTTAATATAATCTACATGCTTAGAAAAGACTTCTCGGACAAAATAGTTGCTTCTTTTTTACTACTAACAAATTATTGAAGAGAAATTAAGAGTATGGTTTTTTTAAATAAAATCGGTTAACTAAGAACATAAATTTAAAACGATTTCTATATAGAATTTTTTTATATTTAAATATGCAATGAGCTCGAATCATCTAATTAATTTAGATGCCATTCCACATTTAAGAGTTTTATGATATATATAGGATATTTATCTAGAGTAATTCTATTTTAAATCCATGTCTAGATCTTTCATCAATAGCTTTGAGATTTATTATAACTTCTTTCTATGTTGAACTCTAAACCAATGCACGTCTATTTTTAAATTTACTATGAAATTGTTTTAAGCTTCAACTCATCGTAACTTACGATGTCCAATAAAAAAAAAACAATAAATAATAAAATTATTTTTAAAATACCATATGAAAAAAACAAACTCGATTTCATTAAATATACAACTTATTTTGCTTTATTCTCATATAATTAATTAATCTTTAACAACAACAAAAAAAAGAAGTAAATTTTGCTTGCTTTTTAATTACATCTCTGTACGAAATAATTGTAAATAATAGGACTAGTTTAATAGTTTATGAGAACTATAACACATTCATGAAGAAAATTATTTTGAAATAATTAACCGTATAATCAATTTCAATGATCATGAAGCAAAAAGAAAACAAAGAACACATTTGACAATTAAAATCAATTCATACCTATCATAATCATTTTCTAAAATATCAATTTCTTCATCAGTGAATTGTATTGATAAAGAAGATTGTTCACCCATCGGACAAACTTTATTCTATAATAATCAATATTGTTTATTTTCTTGAATAAAAAAAAATATCAATCAACAGGGCTACTTCTTGTTCGCATTCTTAAAAATGTTACTTATTTGATAATCAATGGACAAATAAGAAAATTTTCTTTCTCAACGCCATCATAATAAATTTTATCCTCTAGGAAATTGTCGCTACAATCAACGTAGAAAAAAAACAACCTTTAATTGATACATTGAATGACTCACATTATACTTAGCTACACTACTCAACCTTCATTTTAAGCATTTACAAGTAGTATAATTGTTACCATTACATCAAACATGTCTTTAGCTGTACGGCCACCTCATTGGTTATATCCTGATTATAATGTTCTTTTGAACTTAAAAGAACGACGGGAGCTAGCTAAAACTATTTTTGATGTGGGTATATCTTTAAAATTGTATGTATCTTATTTATTTATTTATTTATTTATTTATTTTTGTGTATGTCCAAAATATATTTCTAGGCCTATTCTGTGTATCTGGACAGCGATTGTTTATATACAACGGTTTCTAGTAAAGCATTCACCTACACAAGATTTACATAAAGTATATACTTAAACTGAAAAATAAGTGAATTATATTTCTGTATGATTTTATTTTAGTGGGTATGTCAAGCAGCATTACTTCTTGCATGTAAGAAAGCAAAAGTTAAAAACTGTCCTTTGAAACGTATTTATGAAAAGACTAATGCAATATTAAATACTACCACTTCTGCATTGTCGAAAGAAGTATGTCAATAAACAAATAAAGATGAATTAAATCTTGTTTTTGATCTTTTAGGTGATTTCATTTCACCGGAGAAAAATACTTCAACATGAACTTATTCTTCTTTCAACATTAGGTATAAGAAAAAAAAGATAAGAAAAAAAATGAAAACTAAAAAAATTTATTTCCTAGAATTTGTATGTGATATTCAACATCCACATACTTATATTGCTGAAGTCATTAAAAAACGTGGAGGTAAGCAATGAAAAATTCTTCTAGACGATAGATCTTTGAGACATGTTAGACTACAGTCATACATTTTTTTAAGATTTTTTCAATATAAATAAATACTTCATAGTCTACCGCTTTGTATTAGATTAAATTAGTAAATCTAATATATTCATTATTAAACACATCTATCTCAAAGAGTATAGTGCATTACACATGTTCTAATATATGACTACTAAATTAATAATACTTAATTTTATCTGATCCATGACTCTATTTCAGCCATAGACTATTAAAGAGGGACCATGCCTTTATGTTGCTTTCACATATCGAAGTGTATGACAAACCTGCCCACGTAATAAAAGATCCCGGGTCTACTACTGTGATCCGTCGAACTAAGTCGAAATTCTGTTAAAATTACCGTCAAAATACACACAATTCCTGCAAAAAAGATCCTCCGGGGCCTTTCTAATATAAAGGAGATTTAGTCGAATTTAATTACGTAGAGTTTTTACAATTTATATAATATTACTCGATGGTACGCAATACCTATTGACGTACTAAACACTTTGGAGTAATATTTTACATGCATAAAAATGTTTCTATTTATCAACAATCTAATAAGTTTTCTATAATCAGAGAAAGTGTAGTTAAGATATATGGAGAGATCAGTTATCTTATCTTAATTCCTTCTTAAGGCATGGGTATTATTATCAGTATTAATTTTTCTACATAAAATTTGTTTTTTAAACCTCATAACGTTTTTTGATCATTCTGTAAATGATCATTGTGACCGTTATAGATAAAGATATAGAAAGTTAAAAGAATATATTATTATGTACCCATAGAACTACTATAAGACAATTACATCATCGAAAATTTTAGATTTTTTCGTTCTCTGTTATACGATCGAGAATATAAATAATATAGAGGTTAGACAGTCGGACGAAATAATTCGATAATGTATTCTGTATCTTTATTTAAATCATTACATAATCATATAGGAATGTATTAGGCTCATGAATATATTTATAGTATAATAGGTACGAATTTAACTATAGAAAGTTTAAATATAGGACTGGACATTAGTCATTATAAATATATTAGCCCAAAGACAAAAAAGTTCCACGAAATTTGTTTCATCGTTTTATTGATAGAGATTAATGAACTTTGGACTTTGGTTATCACATATATTGCTTCTTTTTATTTATGAAATATTATTTACTGTATCTTTTAGGATCAAAAGAACTTGAAAACATGACTTATAAAGTGGCGATGGAAAGGTTGTATAATTAAAACCTATAGATATACTGACCTACTTATTTTTCTAGCATTTTATTGGCACCATTTTGTATCAAATACTCGCCTGAACTTATTGCATGCTTTTGTATTCAGATGGCTGCGGAAATTCTAGTAAGAATATTTATAAAATTTGATAAATTTTTATATGAAGTTTTACATTAGAATTCCGATCCAGGAAAAAAATATACAATTGATGAATCTTGGTTTCAAGTGGGTGATAAATCATATACTATGAATCAAATCAAAAGTAAGAAATTCAAATAAGCAACATCCTAACTTTATGTTCTTTATACTAGATCTTAAAGATGAGTTTTATACTATATGGAAAGATTATCCAAATGAATACAAATATACAATCTTTAAAGAGCAACATGTTCGTATCTTCTTTTTGTGTGTATATAATTCATTTTCCTATTTGACATATTTAGTCATTATGGAAACTAATCGACAAATTACCATCAGTGGTCAATGAAACAGAAGAAAAAACTCAACCACCACATGTCAATCTTGAACAAAAATTTGTACCTTTGTCCAGTACCAGCAGATATAATTCATCAGATAATGAACCTTTGTTCTCGGAAACTTTAACACCAGACTTAAACTCATTACCATCATCTCAATCGTCAAATGACTCTCATCAGCAAATAGGATGTCAAATTCCGATTACTACACAAACTAGTCAAGTAGTTAAAACTAGTAAGATTTCCATGACATTTATTTAGTAGTTGTTCCTTGAAAATAGTTTATATATCTGAAATTTCTTTATTATTTTCATTTTCAAAGATTTGAATATCACTACAACATCTCAACATGTTAACCCTTACTCTGGAACCAAACATGGTCTTGATTCATCAGATGATGATAATGAAGTTAATAAACGACTCTGTACATTTCCAACACATGAACCAAAATAATCGAATAATATTAATGACAATTATATGACCACAATCAAATCTTTTTGGCTTTTATTTACATTTAAATTTCTTAAAACTTAGTAAAACAAATTCTTTATTTTCTTGTTTTTGTTGTTTCAGATGAATAGAAAATTAGATTGATTTTAAATTAATTTAACAAAATAATGTCATCATCATCCTCATTCAATTATATGTCGATATAAAGATTGTTATTTTTCTCAAGTCTTAGTTTATTATATTCTATATATCTTATTTGTTTAAGTTCCTCTTTTCGTTTTGTTATTCAATTTGATCAATCTAGTTATTCTATCATCTGTTTTTTTTTGAATACGCGTATATTCTATTTCTGTAATGATTGTTTTTATGAGTTAAACAGTTATTTTTTTTGTACAAATTAGCATATTTAAACAATGTTTTAACTTGTTCTATTAGACAGAACATATGAATATAAAATCGATTTGTATAGTGAATATTGTTTTAGATATTATCTGAATCATCTGTCATTTTCGATAGGAACTGGTTATTTCAATATCTCGAAAAGGTATGAACTACAGTTTATGCAATAGGGAATTTATTTATAAGTCTTAATTTCTTTTTCGACTAAGATGGACATAAGAAAATCGAGAAAACTTAGACATTTATATATTGACAGTATTGCGGACGTTATCATATATATATAGAATCTCAAAAGTTTCTTGTTTTGATACAGTTATATGAAGCATCGGCTCCGATGGAAATTTATAAGGTTAACAGAGAAGACCTTAGGGGTCAATCACACAGAGAAAAATAATTCAGTTTGAAATTAAATTACACAATATCATTGGCGTTTCCACGTAACAACGGCTAATATATTGGTCGATTGCCTGTTAATTTCGCTTATTTTTTCCGGTGTGATTGACCCTTTAAAACAAAGCTAATTCATGCTAACATACATTTATTCTTCTAGTCTTATTTAAAATTCTCATATTTGAACTTATATTTATTATGAATGACGCGCGTGTATTGAATTTAAACATTCCTCTTGTTTTTTTTGTCTTGTAGTTCAACGAAAATAAAAAAAACTCATCATTGTCATTTTATTTTCTTCGAATTTTCTTTATTATCGATACTGGTGTTAAGAAATTTTTATTTATTTTCAAATTATGTGGAAAGTTAAAGATCAACAATGCTTGAATTAACAACATTAATGATCTTCACTTGGTTGACACTTCGTGTTCGTTATGTAAAGTCTTTCTAAATTAAATGATTAATCATTTTTTATAAAATTATTTTCTAGTTTCATAATTATTTCAAAGATTTTGTTTTATTTGATATTGATATAAATAATAATGTTATTGTTCGTTGGTTATGTTCATTTATAATGACAAACGATCCAGCAACAAATCAAAAATCTACTCGACAATCGTCGACAATACCAACTATGGATAGTTTTTTGAATATGAAACAATCGAAATCTAATTTATGCTCGGCAACAAATCCATTAACACCTAATAATCTTATGCAGTTTATTGAAAATATACCCATAGATTCTTCGAGTAAACCACATCCACGTTCTGGTCATCGAGCTGTTGCAACTGAATCAGATTTATGGATATGGGGTGGTTATTATCCATCAAGTGATACTGAACAAGAACGCATGTTTCAAGAAGTATGAAAAAGAGTATAAATATGAAATCTCTAGCTTTTTTTTCTTTTATATAGCTTTGGCGTTACAATTTTGCTCTTCGTCAATGGACACTCGAACAAACAACTGGTGATGGACCTATCCTTACTCTTGCCTCTCATTCAAGTATATTCATTAGATTCTAATATATATTATTGATGATTTTATATTTTAGTGTGTCTCTTTCGAAATTATCTTCTTGTTTTTGGTGGTACTGGATTTCCATTTGGTCATCATGTTTCAAATGATTTATTTGTACTTGATTTAAAACGACGTCATTGGAAACGTTTTCGAATACATGATCAACAACCACAACCAGTCTATGGAGCTGTATATATATACATGTTTTTTCTCTGAAATCATATTTTATTGTATTTATTTTAGAGTATGCTTTTAAATGATGATCATTTATATATTTTATGTGGTACAAATAGTTGGATTTATAATTCTGATGTATTTGATATACATTTACCTACATTAAAATGTAAACATATAGGTAATACATTTGATGAAATTGAAGATCCAAGTGAAACAGGAAGGTAAATGTTGAAATCAATTAAATACAACAAAAAAAGTCATTTTGTATATTTCAAAGATATCGACAAGAAGCATATTTACACAAAAATCAAATCTTTTTATTTGGTGGTGGTGGAGTTTCAGGGATATCATATTCATTTGAGCATGTAAGTATAAAAATAGACTATATAAAATATGAATCATTATATGCGAGTATTACATGAAAAGATAAGAAAAAAGAGTTTTAACCTTTACAGTATCATGAAATCTCTTGAAGATTTTATATTGAATATAGGTAGTGTGTACTGTAATATTTTAATCATTCCTATGCGAGAGATTGCAACCATGAGTCGAAAAATTCGATTAAAAGTTGCTGTAAAGTAAGTACTAACAATCATCACTAACTTGATTATAATACAGAAAATGACATTAGAACATTGCTTTACATTTATGAGCTTTTTATAAAATTTCGCATTGCGTTTATAAATCTATTGATATTTAGTTACCTGTTTTTGATCTTGCTACACAACATTGGTCTTATGTTCATACAAATCCAGATCCCGTTCATAGTTAGTTCAATTTTTAATTTTTTATTATTTTACTAAATATTAAATAGATTTTCCTACTGCAAGAAAATTTCATTCAATATTTCCTTTTCATAATAATCAAGTAATTATGTTTGGTGGTGCTCATTTCAATCGTACAACAAATCGTCATATTGTTGTTAATGATCGTCTATGGATATTTAATTTTGAAAAATTAGAATGGTCTATATTATCTTCCTTAACAATGCCAAGACCGACTTATTTTCATGCTGCTGCTATGAATGAAGTAAAAATATGATTTCATTTTTTATTTTTACTTTTTTTATTCTTTAGCGTGGTGAAATTTGGACACATGGTGGTGTTGTAGTTGAATCAAGATCAAATGATAATAATAATATACATTATAATGAAACACGTATAACAACTTTGTATGCAATGCATACTCGAGTACCTAATTTAAGTGAATTAGCATGGAATTATTTTTTAAATTCTCTTCCGGATCGTACTTGTCTTATAAAGCAACCTAAACTTATGACTCAACTTCATATACCACCACGATTTATTGAACGTATTCATTGAACAAAATCTGATTTTTCTTTTTCAGAACTATTTTTTTTCTTTGTTTACATAAATGAACCGTCGTGAAAAAAATATAAACAACGGTGAAACAAAGATGATAGATTTTATTTGAGTAACTTCATGTGCATCATACAGAGATTTATTCATTTATGCAAAAAAAGAAAACTTCGAAGAAAGATAGAGAATTGCCATGCAACAGAATGAGTCGAATACAATGAATAACTCAATTGAATAGAACTACAATGAACAATAAAATTAAAATAATTGATCGATTGTGACAAGTATCAGCTGGTACTTCATGGTCATATTTTACTATCGAGCTATGACAGTTAAAAGAGTGCATTATACGAATATAGAGCGAATAATATGAAATTCTAAAACTACTTAATCTTCTGTTATTTTAAATCAATAATATCTACTAATCCTGTCAATATTGATCAAACACTATCAAAAGAATTTAGAAAGTATAACAATTGATTCGTGAACTAATCAACAATCTGTAATACTATTGTATTTCAAACAACTTAAAAATTTGTATTAATAGATACGTTCATTATGATTTTATCTATAAACAAACATTTTTTTGTTCATATAAGGATAATAGATAAATTCTATGACTATAGAAAGAGATGATATTTGCAGATGTGATATAACATTATTATGAAAAATACTATTTAGAACTATTATGAGTGTAATCATGTAAAAAGATCTATGACAAAGATATTTAATTGAATTAGTATTAATGTGTTAGTTAAAGTTAGGAATGAATATTAAAGATATGATCATAACAGTATCCATATGACCTTCTCTAATGGATAATATAAACTTTTTCGTTTGTATACAATACAAAATGACACGTATACTGGTACGATGAACCGTAATAGATGAGTATCATCAGAATTAGTTTATAATACTATCGATCAAGCAAAGAGAAATATACATCATTTAGTAGAAAGTCTTCTTCACATAAATAAGGTTTATTCTTTTGATTTTTACGAATATGAATCGATGTCATTATGTTTTTCTTATATTCAGGTGAGTAGAAACATCAGTGTCACTTTTCTATATATTAATTGAATGAAAAATCATCGTTTGTGTGCAACAACTAGTGACATCTGTACTAGTCTGATAAATTAGACTTTATTAAATTAGTTTTTCGTTTTAAAATATTGAATAAGTTTTCTGTGAAAAATTTCGAGATAAATTACGAATTTAATATAAAAGTTTAGAGGTGATAACGATAATTTTTTATTGGTTATTGTATGCCATCTATATAGTAATAATGGCCGCTATTGCCCCAAAATTTTGCGGCTTTTAACCAGTATTAAATTTTCTTGTTCTCTACACGCTGTCCACCCATTTTTTTTCTATTTCTCTCGAGAATGAGAACTTCTCTTTTGACAGATATTCAGATAGTTTTCCTAATTATTTTCTAATCAATTTTCGGAAACTTTGTTCGTATAATCTTCATCGATATAAATATTATTGAAGAATTCTATGAAAAAAAAATTCTCCAAAGGATTATGATCATTTAAATTCTTTTTTTCTCACACGAAATCTCCTTCTTCATTGAGTTATTCTTATTTAGTATGTAAATATTTTTATTGTGAAGTACTTTTCTTTTATTTAATTTGTAGAAGAAGAAAAAAAACAAAAAACAAATTGATCTATAATGATGTTCATCGTTATATACTCGTTGAGACATGCTTATCGTACAGACGTCTCTGTTTTATATGATATTAACTTGTTTGGTTCTATTCTGTCTGATGTTGATTGATTGATTGTGAGTGAGAGAAAAAGAGTAATAATCACTGATGAATATATTATATTATTGTTTTCCTCTTTCCTCTTCCGGTTAGACCCGTTGATCAATGAGATCATCTTTTTTTTTTCGTCAGTTCTTCTCTCACTCATTACTATCAACATCGCTAGAAATTATCTGTGCTCCATGTTCCGTTTATTGGATGGTGAATAGCGAGACTTGTGCGTTCGTTCTTTTCTTCAATTATTTGTTCACAACGATGCAGCCACTGTTGCTCTGACCTCGCCTTGACTGATATTGGATATATATATATATATATGTATACATATATATATATATAAAATAGTTGTGTTAGTTCTAGTGTTCAGTCTACTCTCGTCTTTATCCTCTCAATATTTTTCGGCTCACTCTTCACATGATCTAATCCTCTTTCTCATTGTGTTCTTACTTTGCGGCAAAGAATGATGCTATGAAACATCACCGTATGCAAAAAAAAATCGATTTCCCTTGTGAGGATCTCTCTTACTCTCTTTTTGTCATTCTCTTGCCGAGCTCGACATCGTTATATAGTACCGTACCATCTATCACTAACGGCAATAGTTATTTGTAGCATTTTTTTTCTTTTCTTTCTGTTTGTCACACATGTAACCAAATACTAAACATATATTTATTACAGATAAAAACAAACTGTATAGTAAAAGATGGTAATCTGTGGTACAGATCTTTTTTCATCCATTTTACCTTATGTTCACGTACTTTCATCATCATCATTATCAAAATCAACATATTGTTCGCAATGTTTGATTTTATCAACTGATTTAAAACGTTGTTCAAAATGTCATCAAATATCTTACTGTTCAATATCATGTCAACGACAAGATTGGATATATCATAAATATGAATGTATACATTTACATACTATAACAGATGAATATGATTTAACACGACTTTTTTTACGTTTAATAATACGTTATAAAAATGATAATGGCATTGAAAATTCTTCGACAAAACGTTGTTTAAATGATCTTAAAACACATGAAAATGAAATACGTCATGATAAACGACGTTATACAATATTTCAATTAATATATCAACGTTTAAAACAATGGAATTTATTCGATCAATTAGATGAATTAATAATTTTTCAACAATTTTGTCGTTTAATTATTAATACATTGACAATACATGATACAATTGATTTAAAATGTATTGGTTATGGTTTATATTTTAATGCAACAATATATAATCATTCATGTAGTCCAACATGTCATACAGTATTTAATGGTATATATTTATCAATTCGAACATTATGTGATGAATCTAGTGATGAATGGACAATAAATTATATTGATCTATTAGAATCATATCAAAATCGACAAGATTATTTACATGAAAATTATTATTTTAATTGTCAATGTAAACGTTGTTTAAAAAATGATAAAAATGAATTAATTTTATTAGAAAAAATTCGTTATAATGAACAACAAATGGATAAATTCATAGATAAAAATGAATTCAATAATGCATATCAAATAAGTAAAAATTTATCAGATTATTATAATGAAATTTTACCATATTATCATGCTTATGTATCATTACATCATGTTAAACATCTTAAATTAGAATTATACTTAGCTGAAACAATTTCAAATCTTATTCTTCAATCAACAATAAAAAATACTTGTCAAAGAGTACAAATATCTATGGGAGAAAAACATCCATTAACACAAGAAACAATAAATTTATGTGAACATTATAAACTAGAAATGACGATGAAACAAAAACAAATTAAATGATAAGAAAGTTTATTTTTTTTTATTTTTATTCTAGATAATGGATTTATTTACGAATAATTATCTATCGATGATAAATTTATTAGAAATTAATGGTAAGTTTTTTTCACCTTTTATGAATCATGTCGTTCCTATTCGTTTATACAAAAAATAAAGAGAATCAGCGGATTGTGAATAGAAGATGAGTAGTATACTTGAAAATAGACTAACTTAATATTTTCAAGTCTACGTTTCTAGTCACATTTACTCAGGAAATAAAGTCAAGTATTGATATATTAAACGACATGACGTTTCTTTCAAGTGTTTGTAACTATCGGCAAAAGTAATCTAAAATATAGATTTTTCAATGTCATGTTGTAATCATTATATATTTGACATAATGAATATCTAACTTTCAATTTATTAAACTTATTTATATGCTAATATGAGTTATTCTCAAACTTAAGTTCCTTAACAATACAATAGAAAATATAGATACATGCATTGCTTTTTTAATTTAACCGGAGAAGAAAAAATATAAATAATCTCTTTGTTCATTCTTATTTATATTCTCGATGTAACAAGATATTTTTTTTTATATCTAAATCAAAGAAATTATTTTATCCTTATAATATATATACATGATTTTTATTTTTAATTTAGATTTTAAACATTCGTCAAAGCACTGATTAATTTCATGCTACATATGTGGAATCATTCTGAACTCGTATTATTAATTAAAATCAATCTATGATTTATTTTATTGAATAACTGTATTTAGAATGAAAAATGCTCTAATATATTATAGTTGGTTTGAAATAAGTAGAATTTTTACTACACGAGTAATAGATACAATCAAAATCTGGAAGTAGATTAATTGATTATGTTTTTAGTTGGGTATTATCCTAATCCTTTCAATTGTGTATTGACAAGAAACAGCCATCTTGTTAGTACGAAAAAAACCTGTCGATGTTAAAACTATCCTTAGAATTTCCCTTGAGTTTTTAAGAAAACAATTCTGATCATATGTAGGATTTATTTTACATTCTCTAAAGATATATGATTTCCCTTATATAACTACTACTGCTAGAATATTTCTAAATAAAAATAACTTTTTTTTTTGTTTAGTTTATTTAAAGTATATTTAAAATCTCTTAGCGAACCGATTATATGTTATTGTTTCATTATTCATTTATTTGGTATGTCAATCGGAAGTGCTTGCGATAAAAAAATGCATTGAAACAAAAAAGAAAAAGGGAAACGAATATTTTTTGCCTAGAATAGAGAAAAAGAAATACAATGGAGATAAGAAGAATTACAGTTTTTTTTATCAAAGACAAATTTTCTGTTCGATTTTTAGATATAAACTGTTGTTTTGACTAAAATGCCCACAGTAACAAATGGAACACATGTTGAATCTCCTGTAAAAGATCATTCACAAAATGCACATGATGAAGATGAAGATCGTCGTGAACAGGAACGACCAGCTGATGTTAAAGAAGATATGCGTCAAATGGGACAACGACAACGTGTTACAATGATATTAAATTCAAGTGAATTTCGTGATGAACTTGAAGCAATTATAACTGATGCATTAAAACATGGACCACATCCAGCATCATTAATTGCTTTACAACAAATATCGGAATTATTATTACCACATACATCACGTTGGACAACTGTTTCATCATTATCACGTGCTGGTGGTTCAGTTATTGTACCAATAAATGATATACGTGGAGTTGATTCAACAAGTTATTCAAAAAGTGAACGTTTACTTCGATGTAAAGTAGCATCACTTTATCGATTAGTTGATTTATTTGGATGGTCTCAAGGCATTTATAATCATATAACGGTTCGTTGTTTTAAAAATCGATTAACTAAAAACTATAGAATAATACATTCGATTCTTTCCGATTCCATTAGGACAATAGAATCGAGCATAGTAATAAGATTAAATAAAACAGGAACAACTAATCTACTTATTAGTGAATAAAAAACTTATTTTTTATGTTTCAATTAACAGAAAAAAAAGATCCTTGACAACGGAATAATTTAGACAGCTTCTTTAAATCAGAAAATGCCAAAAAAAACAGTCTAAATTTCTTTATAATTAAAAAAATCAAAATAAATATCATTATTCATCTAATTATTGTCTATACTCTGTTTGCTAAATTAATTAAAGTAATGAAATAATTATTCTTCGTCTTTCTATAGGTACGTGTTAATCAAGAACAAGAACATTTTCTTATTAATCCATTTGGTATGATGTATCACGAAGTAACAGGTTCAACTTTAGTTAAAGTCGATATTGCTGGTAGGATCAATTGAAAATTTTCAGTTCAATATTATTTATTCTTTTCTTTCTTCGATTTTTTTTCTTCTTCTCAGGCAATATTGTTGATCCAGGTAGTACAACATACGGTATAAATCGTGCTGGTTATACGCTTCATTCAGCTATTCATAAAGCTCGACCAGATATAAAATGTATTGTACATTTACATACACCAGCAGTAGCTGCTGTATCAGCAATGAAATGTGGTCTTTTACCATTATCACAAGATGCTTTATTTTGTGGTAAAATATCTTATCATGATTATCGTGGAATATTAATTGAAGATGATGTTAAAAAACTTCTTGTCGAAGATCTAGGACCAATAAATAAAGTAATGATATTACGTAATCATGGTTTTGTTGCATGTGGTGAAACAATTGAAGAAGCATGGAAATATGCATTCAATGTTATCAATGCTTGTGAAGTACAAGTACGTGCAGCACCAATGGGTATTGATCAATTATATTTACCATCTGTTGAACAACAAAAACGAGTAAAAATATTATTTATTTATGTTTTCTTTTTTAAATTAAAACAATTTTAGATTGCTGATGTATTACAAGGAAATATAAATGAAGCAACTGATGATAAGAAATGGAAAATAGGTGAACTTGAATTTGAATGTTTAATGCGTATTTTGGATAATGCTGGCTTTCGTACGGGTTATGTTTATCGTCAACCATTAATTCGTACACTTGATAAAACAGCAACATTTAAAGACGTTGAAATACCACCAGCTGCTTCATCAGCTACGTCGTTTATTGATGGAGGACAAACACATCCTGAAGCATAGTAAGTCATTTATATGGATTGTGATTGTTTCTTTAAGAAGAAGAAAAAAAACCTTGTTTATTTTAGTTCACCATCACGTCAAGCTCAACGCACAACTGAATGGCGCAACTCACCGAATGCTTATTTAAAGCAAGAAATTGAAGAAACTGGAACACAACATCCAAAGAAAGTTACAAAGGTAAATTATTTTAGATGAATATATCTTCATACGAAATATTTTAAGATAAGCTCACATCATTTGATTTTTTTTCTTCATTTAAAACCTTCAGTATGACCTTTGACTCAAAATAAAGAGCATTTGCATTTACAGTATTTTGTAACAGATTGCATCTTCTCATACTGACCACTTTTGTTTGATAGAAATTATCTACCATTTTCGAGAAGTAGAAGATTCGATAAAAATGTTCTGCAAGAAAATTTTACTTTCAATTTTAGTAGGTCAATTGGATGTAATGTCATAGAAAATGATTTCGAGCATATAAAGTGTGGAGAACCACATCATTGCTTAGTAACATCTAACATCTGTAAAGAATCGCTGATGGTGAATTATTAATAAAATGTTTCGTGATACAGAGAACTGAATTTTTTACTACAGATATATCTAATCAAGATCTTTTATCTCCGAAAGTTTCAGTTCTTAAGGAGAAACACATCATTTTTCTTACTCCATTTCTGCATAGTTTTATTGTCAAATTATTATAAGAATCAAGTTCGAAAATAAATATTTCAACACTAGTCTTAGTTGAGGTGCTAAAACTTTCAGAGATGAAAGATCTTGATTAGATTTATATATATTTATATGGTAAAAATTTCAACTCTCAATACCACTAAAAAGTGATCTTTAACATGTGTGAAGGTTTTTTAAAAAAACGACGTGGTTCTCCACACTGGCTATATTCAAAGTCGTTTTAATTATTATTTCAAACCATTTTCGGCTACGCCAATGCCAACTAACCTATCAAAATTGAAAAAAAAAATTTTGTCCCTGAGAGTAGTGGAGACTTCACGGATTGACCTACATACTTTCTAAGAAATTAATTTAAAAACGTAAAGAACAATCTGGCAAGGCGAAAAACGATCTTCGAATCTGTTGACTTATTCATTTACTGTGAAGATAGATTAGATACTAACTTTTTAAACTGCGCTTGAATCGATTCAATTAAATCTAATCTTAATTTTTTTATTTGATTTTTATGAACAGCTGTTGCTTCGAAAATTGCCAAACGAATAAACTTTCAAATTATTTTCACTTAATCCCAAAATCAGTTTTTCATAGATAGCGCTCAGTGTTAACATTCTACAACTTTATTTCGTCGAAATGAAATTTTTATTACAGATATTGGCAGCTATTCTCCAAAGTTAAAAACAACGGTTTTCACTTGTAATGTTTTGTCAGAATCTGTAGAGTTCAGAAGACCTATAGGTATTGTTTTTTTTATAAGAGAAAGAGTGAAATTCTTGAAAAAAATCAAAATTGCCTTTATTATATAGTCGTAAATATCGGTAAAAATATTTTTAAGCCAATCGAACAAAATTTCATAAGATTACCTAGTGGCAAAGTAAGACTCTTTGGAGCAAGCACATATCTTGTTATTTTCATGTATTCTATTTATGGTAAAATCTTGTAGTTCGACCAACCATATCACCTTTGTATTTCTGAAATAGTTAGAAACGAGGAAGTACACTTAATGATCCTTGACTCATAAGTTGAAAAGTCTATGAAAGAAAATAGTAGAGTCTCGAGAAGATCCAATCAAGCGTGCGTGTACTAGGTCATTTCGCTAAGTGATAATTGAATACAAAATTTTTTTCAAGTGATTTTCACGTATTTTATTAATAGTAGTATTATTCTATATTACCTTGCCATTCTACTGAATTTTTTTTGTTGCTGAAATAA